GAATGGTTTGGGTAGGAAGGGACCCCTAGAGGCCATCTAGTCCAACCCCCCTGCAGGAGCAGGGACACCGCTAACCAGATCAGGTTGCTCAGAGCCCCGTCCAACCTGGTCTTGAATGTTTCCAGGGATGGGGCCTCCACTACCTCCCTGGGCAACCCATTCCAGTGTTTCACCACCCTCATTGTAAAGAATTTCTTCCTTATATCTAGTCTAAACCTACCCTGCTTCAGTTCAAAACCATTCCCCCTTGTCCTGACACAGCTGGCCCTACTAAAAAGATTTCCCCATCTTTCCTATGGGCCCCCTTTAGGTACTGAAAGGCTGCAATCAGGTCTCCCCACAGCCTTCTCTTCTCCAGGCTGAACAAGCCCAACTCCCTCAGCCTGTCCTCATAGGAGAGATGCTCCAGCCCTCGGATCATTTTTGTGGCCCTCCTCTGGACCCGCTCCAACAGTTCCATGTCCTTCTTGTGCTGAGGGCTCCAGAGCTGGATGCAGGGCTCCAGGTGAGGTCTCACCAGAGCAGAGAAGTGCTGTATCTAACTGCTTTCCAGACTGTTCCTTACATCCAGGTCACTGAATGCAGGTTATAAATGGGATAAATGGGAATGCGCTATCTATACCTAACATCAACAACAGCATCTGTAGAAGGAGTCAGGATGGCAAACTTGCGGGATATATGCAGTTATGAGGAATGAGTCTCGGGCAACTTAATTGCCATTTTGAGGAAACACGGATGATGTTTTTCCTGTCTGAAAGAAGTGTGGCCAAATATCACCCATAATCAGAGAAGGTTTGGTTTGGATTAAAACTGGTACATGCAAAAAAGCTCTTAGGACATTTCTGCCTACCCTGACATGAAGGGATTAAAAGTTTGGCTCGTTCACCCTCCCAAAATAAAGACTGGAAATGAAAAGATTGGCAGGTATTTAAGATAAAGAGGACTTAACTGGAACTGAAGGAACTGAATGGTGAAAGACCACATGGATATCAGATGTCCATGAACACCTTTGAGCTAGAAACATGGAAGGTCTCTGGCTGTCTGCAGGATGGAGCTCTAGGAGCTTCATCTACCTTCTGGAGCTCTAGGAGCTTCTAGGAGCTCTTCACTACCAGCCTCTGCAGCTTCAGCCTGAGACCACTCATCAAATATGTTTGTTTGTGAGATGAGGGACTGGGGCTGATTAACCCAAGTCCCTTCCAGTCCTTCTTTATGTATGTTTAGGATTTTTACTCATTTCTACTGGGAGATCTTAGCCTTAGGAGCTGGGAGTGCGTCATATGGTTTCAGAGTAGGGCTGGGCACCTGGCTGGCCTTGAGGCAAGGGAAGGGGCCAGGAGATGCTAACGCAGGCCCAAGAGCTGAGGCTGTCTGGGAATGGTTTGAAAGCTTCCCCCCATCCCCTACTGTGTACAGGTAGACATCCCGGGCCACCCTGGGGGCTGACTGTGCTGACCTGGCACCGCTTCTGGTAGTACCTCCCTTGGTCAAGGTGTAGTCAGGTCATCTCCACAGCCCGCTGTGCCCATGGTGTTATGGACCATTGGGACGCTGTGGCTCCTTAAATCGGGAGCGAAGCACAGGGCAGAGCGCGGTGCCATGGGGCCCTGAGCAGGATGCAGTGTCTCAAGCACAGCTGCTCACAGCGAGGTCTGGGCAGCTCCGAGCCGGCTTCTGAAGAGACAAACTTCTGCCTGTCTACACGTGATCCTGGAGATGTCCTCCTTGTCCTGGGAGCGTCCACCAAGCTTCGTCAGTAAGGCTTGCTTTTGAGATCCGTTGCCCAAACCAAACTCTTTGGTAGGAGCTACGAGGGGTGCCCTGTCCAGAGGGACACGACCCAGCTGTCTCTGCGAGCCTGTCGTTGCACGGCCATGCATCTCGGCAACCAAACCTCACGAATGTGTGGCGCTGGGAAGCTGACAGCAAGAAAATATTTTAAAAGGTAGTGCAAGAAACCACTGCACGGTTGAAGGCAAACCTGTAAAAAAGCAACTTGAAAATGCAGAGATGTTGTGCAAATTCTGCTGAACATTTTTTTTTTCCTGAAAGGAAAACCACAAGTGAATTTACAGTAAGATTTTTTTGTGTATGTGTGTAAAGTGGTTCGGTTTGAACTGCTGTCACACAGTACCCTCGTACTGAGGTTATCAGAACAGATCAGAAAATACTCAGTTGAGTGAGCAAGCTCTGGTTCCCACCAGTGAGCAGAGCAGACCCGTTGCTGCCTGCGGCTGGTGTGGGGGGGAGAAATGCCTCTGCCAGAGACCCACAGGTCCTGGGCACAGAGCTCGACACCGAGCATTGCTGGTCCCCACCGGGGAAATGCAAGTGAGAGCCACAAAGCCTAGCTTGGCTCTCGGTCCCATGCCCGGGAGGAGCTGTGTGGAGGCCGGAGGGAGGTCATGCTGGCACCCCTGCTCTGGGGCAAGCCGGGGCAAAGCATTTTCGCCGTACTCCGAATGACCCTGGGAGGAGGCTGCTCACCGACCTGCTGGATGCGGGGGCTGCAGTGGGGCCACGTCCCCGGCAGGGAGGGGATCCTGCGGAGCTGCCTGACCACGGCAGGCTCCCAGCGCCACCCCTGCACTCAGGGGATGTGATCACCATTGTCTGGTGGAAGATTACGTTGGCTAGACCCAGAAGCCCGCGGTTGGCGTGAGAGATGGCTGATGTCAGAGCGATGGACCCGTATCTGTGGCAACCGGGATAAATAAATAAATAAATGAATGAAGTGCATGCTGGAGCAAGGAGGCGTGCAAGCCGCTGCTCCCGAGCACGGCTTCCCTGAATATCTCTTAAGCAGCTTAGCTCCCTTGCTCCAGTTTATCACCTGAGAGCCTTTCTGTCTGCCGGCTGGCTGAGAGCATCCTGCCGCCCGTCCCCTCGGCAGGGACCTGGGAAGCCTCCCCGCCCCTTCATCCCTCCCTCCCTCCCCGGTGCGGGCAGTGGTTTGCTCCGTGCATCCAGAGCTTGATGCGAAGCCACCGCTTGGCAGCAAATTTTGGCCCCGCTGTGCAAGGCCAGAGGCACCCGCCCGCATCCCGGCGGTGGGCCCGTCTTCAGGCAGGTGTTTGATTTCCAAGCCCGGCAGCCGGCGCCTGCAGGAGGCAAGCGATGCTGGAAGTGCCGTAGCCCAGCCAGAGATGGATGGTGTCGGCAGCAACAGGACCATGTCTTACAGTAGATGGAGTTACAACAGGTATCGTCTCTCTTGTTTTGGTTTGTTGGGGGTTTTTTTGGTTGGTTGGTTTGTTTGTTTTCTTTTTTCCTTCCTGATATTGTAAAACCAGTAAGCTGTTTACATAAACTGAGACGGGGAGCCCTCTTCAGGAAAGCATAACCCAGCTTTTGCCGTCTGAAAGGCACTTGAGGCACCCCGGTCTCTCAGCGGCTCAAGCAGCAGTGCTTGCTGTTGCTGAGCAGGCGTTGGTGGAGGGGGGGGCAGTTCCAGCCCGCTGCGCCAGGGCTGGGGGTGATCCCCAGCCCCCAGCGGCCCCGCACGGAGGTGCCCAGGCTCCCTCCCCTGAGCGGGGCAGCTGATTGCTGGAGGGGTCGCCTGGACTTCTGGATGGTGAGCTCTAGTAACTCCTGCTCAAAGCCAGCACCTACAAATACAAACTAAAGCTTGGGAACAGAAGGGGCCGGGAGCCGGGATGTTGCTAACGAGTGATATTTTCAAGCAAAAGCTGTGAGGGATGCTCTGTGCAGCCCCGGTACCGCGGGGCTGAGGGGGCTGAATTAGGTGTCTCACTGAGACAGCTGAAATATTCACACCCCGTTTCATACCAAGATGCAACTACGTGTGTGTATTTTTCCTCTTCTAGGGAATGTGAAATTATTGTAGCATTAGTTTTGCTTTTATGTGATTCACGATTCTGGTTGACAGGTTATTCAAGCCTGGATTAAAAAAAAAGGCACAAACTTCATACTTTTTTCTTTTACTTTATGTGTCTGTAAATATTACACCTGAAATGGAGCCAGGTGCTAAGCGCTGTCTGAATCATTACTGCAAGCCACCACAATATTCTGAAGAAATAACCTTTGGAAGTGGTTTTCAGTGCTTAAACACATATTCGGTGTCGCCCCCGCTCCCCAGGTGTGTGGGTTTATATGGTTTGTATGTGCATCTAGAGAGTTTCACTCATTTTCAGTACATTCATCCTGCCTCAGCAGAAAATATATACAGATGCATACAGTGGTGGCAATGGGAATGGTGTAATCTTTAAAAAAACGTATGATGTTTATGTATAGGCAAAGCTGAGTTACACAACAAGCTGTGGTTTTATGCATGTGTTCTCCCACCCAGAGGATGCTTTCCATCTGATGCCCTGTCCACAGAAACAGCAGCATTGAGACCCTGTAGTGCTCAGGTCTGTCCCATGCAGTCCAAGTTTCAGCTGTTTTGAGGTCCTAACCCTACAGTAAACAACCCAGACATTTCACAAAAACTCCTTTTGAATGGTTTCTCGCACTGCTATTGCCTTTTGATGTAACCTTAGGCATTGCTTGCGATCTGTTGCTCTGGTTTTCAGTCTTCCTTAGTGTGGCAGGGGGGTCGCCCATCACCATTCGTTAGCCTTACACCCGGAGGCGTGCTGTGCTGTGTGCCTACCCTGCCTGGCTTTCGTACTGCATCGGGGGGGCAAATGTAGTATTACGGTGCCCAGTGGTGGCCAGTTCCCAGATTTTGAGATTTTTTTGCCCAATAAATCCAAGTTCCAAGAACCGATGCCTGCATCCTCTATATATTTTTCAGTGCTGGGAAGCTGAGGAGTGAATCGCTGCTTTTACTCACAGTCTTCCCTTTTTAAAAAATGGTGCAGAGTTGTTCGCAGATGCTGAGCTTGTCCTCCCACACCCCTCTTGTGCCCAGGCCGGAGGCCCCCGCCCGCATCCCGGCGGTGGGCCCGTCTTCAGGCAGGTGTTTGATTTCCAAGCCCGGCAGCCGGCGCCTGCAGGAGGCAAGCGATGCTGGAAGTGCCATAGCCCAGCCAGAGATGGATGGTGTCGGCAGCAACAGGACCATGTCTTACAGTAGATGGAGTTACAACAGGTATCGTCTCTCTTGTTTTGGTTTGTTGGGGGTTTTTTTGGTTGGTTGGTTTGTTTGTTTTCTTTTTTCCTTCCTGATATTGTAAAACCAGTAAGCTGTTTACATAAACTGAGACGGGGAGACCTCTTCAGGAAAGCATAACCCAGCTTTTGCCGTCTGAAAGGCACTTGAGGCACCCCGGTCTCTCAGCGGCTCAAGCAGCAGTGCTTGCTGTTGCTGAGCAGGCGTTGGTCTGGAAAGGAGGGGGGGGCAGTTCCAGCCCACTGCGCCAGGGCTGGGGGTGATCCCCAGCGGCCCCGCACGGAGGTGCCCAGGCTCCCTCCCCTGAGCGGGGCAGCTGATTGCTGGAGGGGTCGCCTGGACTTCTGGATGGTGAGCTCTAGTAACTCCTGCTCAAAGCCAGCACCTACAAATACAAACTAAAGCTTGGGAACGGAAGGGGCCAGGAGCCGGGGTGTTGCTAACGAGTGATATTTTCAAGCAAAAGCTGTGAGGGATGCTCTGTGCAGCCCAGGTACCGCGGGGCTGAGGGGGCTGAATTAGGTGTCTCACTGAGACAGCTGAAATATTCACACCCCGTTTCATACCAAGATGCAACTACGTGTGTGTATTTTTCCTCTTCTAGGGAATGTGAAATTATTGTAGCATTAGTTTTGCTTTTATGTGATTCACGATTCTGGTTGACAGGTTATTCAAGCCTGGATTAAAAAAAAAGGCACAAACTTCATACTTTTTTCTTTTACTTTATGTGTCTGTAAATATTACACCTGAAATGGAGCCAGGTGCTAAGCGCTGTCTGAATCATTACTGCAAGCCACCACAATATTCTGAAGAAATAACCTTTGGAAGTGGTTTTCAGTGCTTAAACACATATTCGGTGTCGCCCCCGCTCCCCAGGTGTGTGGGTTTATATGGTTTGTATGTGCATCTAGAGAGTTTCACTCATTTTCAGTACATTCATCCTGCCTCAGCAGAAAATATATACAGATGCATACAGTGGTGGCAATGGGAATGGTGTAATCTTTAAAAAAACGTATGATGTTTATGTATAGGCAAAGCTGAGTTACACAACAAGCTGTGGTTTTATGCATGTGTTCTCCCACCCAGAGGATGCTTTCCATCTGATGCCCTGTCCACAGAAACAGCAGCATTGAGACCCTGTAGTGCTCAGGTCTGTCCCATGCAGTCCAAGTTTCAGCTGTTTTGAGGTCCTAACCCTACAGTAAACAACCCAGACATTTCACAAAAACTCCTTTTGAATGGTTTCTCGCACTGCTATTGCCTTTTGATGTAACCTTAGGCATTGCTTGCGATCTGTTGCTCTGGTTTTCAGTCTTCCTTAGTGTGGCAGGGGGGTCGCCCATCACCATTCGTTAGCCTTACACCCGGAGGCGTGCTGTGCTGTGTGCCTACCCTGCCTGGCTTTCGTACTGCATCGGGGGGGCAAATGCAGTATTACGGTGCCCAGTGGTGGCCAGTTCCCAGATTTTGAGATTTTTTTGCCCAATAAATCCAAGTTCCAAGAACCGATGCCTGCATCCTCTATATATTTTTCAGTGCTGGGAAGCTGAGGAGTGAATCGCTGCTTTTACTCACAGTCTTCCCTTTCTAAAAAATGGTGCAGAGTTGTTCGCAGATGCTGAGCTTGTCCTCCCACACCCCTCTTGTGCCCAGGCCCACAACCGGAGAAGGAGCTGACTCTTTTGTATCCAAAACCCTGGTGGCTGTCACTTGTATTTGGAGCGTGTTTGCTGCCCCAGCTTTGGTCTCATTGAGCAGCGACAGAAGAAAGGTTTGGGGGAACTTTCTGCTAGGGAGGGAGAGGAAAGAGGTGCTTGTTCTGAGCATCTCTGAGCATCCGTGGTGCGCGCCGAAGCCTGGGGACATGGGCTCTGCCCGCTGGGCTCCGCTCCAGGACGCCTTTCTGACCAGCAGGGTCGCATGGAGCCCCTGCAGACTGAGCTCGCCCTGTGACTACTTGTTGGGGCTTAGGCAGGAACGTGAAGTTATTGCAAGATCTCATGAAAGTTGCGCTCCAGCACAGTGGGTTGTAGGAGCTTTGCTAGTCAAGTTAAATAACCTAATTTGCTCCTTCCTCAAGGGACGCTTGTAACCTTGGGCAAGAAACTCTGCTGCTTGCAAAACAGGGTTAATGACGCTTACCTCGTTTACAAGAGTCCTGTGGAACCAAGCAATAACACTTGGGTTCTTCCTCCTTGCCAGTGGCCACAAAATGTCGCAGCTGCTCTTGGGGTAGCTGCTCTGTGGCGGAGTGTTTCCGGCTGGGGCTCCTCCAACATCGGCTGGCAGCAAGGAGAGCATAACGGATGTTTATTTATTGAGTGGATCCATAATATTTACCATTCCTAGCTCTGTTACTTGTTAGTGTGTCACCTGCAGAAGTCACTGTGCTTTTTTGCTTGTCCCTCCCCCTCTGCTCCCCTGGACCCGGAGGGGTTTGGGCACGTACCTGTCCGCATGGGCACGTAGGGCAGCACTGTGAACAGCCAAGCGCTGTGCAAAAGCCGACAACTGCTCCTCTGGATGCATGCCCAGGTTTCTTCTCTTGGTGTTGGCCTCCATGAATCAGCACTGCAGTTACAGAGGGACAGGGCCGGTGGCCCAGGTGCTGCCTCCCATAAATACAATTGCATCTATAATTTTAAAAAGTGCTTATCATCAGTTAAATCAGATGAAGGGAACTAAATGGAGGTTATTGCCCCTGGACTCCATAAGGTGCATGATGGTAGAAACCCATGGAAAAGAGGGCAGTTGCTGCATCCCTTTCTGCTAAATGGCCAAGCATGTGCCTTGCAGGTGACAGCACCTGTGTGCAGCACGTGGACGTTTTTCTAGTGGGGTTTATCCGGCATTCGTTGGGTATCTCAGCATTTGGGCCTGTGATTGCGGCCTTCCCTTAGACTCGCTGGGCAGGATGTCCCTACAGGAAGGCCACTGCTCGTTCCTGCAGGTAGTTTGTGCACTGAAGAGCAAGTCCAAATGCTGACTGTGAAACTCAAGGTGAGGGAGGGGAGCCCCATGCAATGAGGAGAGACTGCTCAACAAAGTTCACATCAGCTGCTCTCCTAACCAAAGGAAAGCTTTTCTTCCCACCCCCTAACTAGACCAGTGTGTATGTGAAAAAGAAACAGGTACATTATGAAAAGGTTTTTAATGATCGCGTGTGGCATTTCCAAGTCTGACTCGTTGGCCTTCTGAAAATGTCAGCCTTACCTCGGGCACATCTTTGCCTTCCTCCCGTTTCAGTACTGTGATAATTTCCTTGTCACTCTGAATGTTGCCAGCTGAAAGCAGAGGCTAGTCAGCAAGTTAAAGACAATCTGGGGATATTGTGAAGGTCCTAGAAACACTCAGGACTTCTGAAGTCAGCCAGCTAATTCCTAGAGTAAGATAATGCTGCTTTTTCACCCTCTGCCTTTGGTGATACGCTGTTTTCTGGACAGCTACTATTCATTTCTGCTTGGTTTCTTTTCCTCCTGAGCAACGCGCTACCTGCTCCCCGCATCTATGGCCCCCAGGTGTGCAGAAATGCTTGTCTTCCAGAGCAGAGCCAATCCTGCCCTTCTTCATGTTCTTAGTTTTCATTGCTGGTGGAGGTTTTGGCAGGTGGGCTATTGCCTGTCAGCACTCTTGCTGCCTCCCCCCAGCTTTGCCTGGGGCCATGCAGCGCCTCACTCTCGGGGATGCCGCGGGGGGAGTAGCAGAGCGCTTTCCCATCGAGCTCTTCAGGAAGCGTTTGCCCATCCCGGCTGATGGGTTCTAAATGTTGTCCGTGTGGGTGTAAGACCCACCATGTAGTACTCTCTTTGGGTTTGATGCACTCCTGTAGGAGTTCATGGTCTGTTTGCAGGGAATCGTACTTTTAAGGGGCTCTGCTCTGTGCCGTGGCAGTTGCTGGTGGTACCCAGCACTGATCAGGTAGGACTTGAACGCCGCGTGAAGTTGACTTCCTCTAGGCAACTTGCAGCCAAGCAGTTACTGCAAACAACCAGTGTCAGGAGTGAGATGAGCAGTAGAAGATGGGGTATTCGGAAGCCTCCTCGTGCTGGCACTCTCTGGAATTGGGGGTGGCAAGCGGAGGTTTTACTAGCGATTCCCACCATACCCTGGCAGAAATGGAAGCTCAGAGAGAAGAGTCATTAATGTGATAGGAAGGTGAAAATGGAGACTAGGTTTTGGCTGGTATAAGACTGAAGAGCCATTCTCATGAGCTGGGCCACCTGAGTCCTTCGTAGCACTTCCAGCAGCTGGGGATCAGATGGATAGAAAATGAACTCTCAAAAAGGCCACCCAAATTTGACCACTGAATTTAAAAATAGTGCTTATGGAGGCTTGAGGGAGCTCTGATACCATGGGTGCAGTTGAATCCAAGCTCTGGGAAGGTACAGCTTAGGAAAGTATGCAGAATTCGGTCAGGCCATGGACACAGGAGACCAGTTTGAAATCAAATATACGGGCAAATACTGCAGACTGGGAATCTGCGGTACATGTTTGGAAAAACTGCGCAAGGCAGCAGTGGACAGCATGAATTTGCAAGGTTTTTCAGGTGTCAGGGGACTATGAGTGATTCTTATGAGGAGGCTCACAACCAAACGGCTGGTCCAGGGTTTTCTGCAGAAGCAGTAGAAAGTTTTGCAGCAGAAGGAATGGGTAACCTGCAGATTATACCGATGCATGAAAAAAGATGTTAGTGTTGCTTTTTTTAAAAAAAAAAAAAAAAGAAAAAAACCAGCAACCCAGAACAAAATTCCAGCTGTGGAGGCAGTGGAAGCCGCAGCTGCTTCCTTCCTTCCTCACATTTCTTCCTGAGACCAATACATTCACGGTTTTCCTCCCATCTTCTTTGCTTCATTTCCGTACTTATTTTCTATTTTTTCCCTGGAGGGCTTTAGTGCAACTATGCTGGGCTCACGAATTACCACACTGTGATTAATGTAGGTTTTATCTACTGGCATTTGGAAGTATTTTTTGGGGAACTT